ATTGAGGGTAATGTTGACAGAGAAGGCTGTGACTCTGACCTTCAAGAAAGGCATGGTTAAGCAAGGGGTGGAGGTAGATTTTGGAATGAAATGAGATTGGCCCAGGATGGATTATTGGAATGGAATTGGGAATGACTGATCTTAGAGTAGCTGACAATGGAATGGAAATCTAATATATATATGATAATATATATAATATTATATATAGAGAGAGGGAGAGAGAGCATATGTGTATATGTGTGCATATTTGGGGGAAAGAGATTGAGACAAGGTCTCATATAGCCCAGGCCAGCCTCAAACTCACTGTGTAGCCGAGGATGACCTCGAACTGTTCTTCCTGGCTCTACCTCCCAATTGCTGGGATTGCGCATGTACCACAACACCCAATCGGCAATGCAAAGTATCTAACGACTGGGTCAGTCTGAGATGCAGTGAGTGAAAAAGAGCTCTTGGAACCATAGCCACAGTGTTCCTGTCCAAGACAAATGCCAAACTCCTGGAGAACATGTTTCTGGAAACATCTGAAGTCACAGAGCTCAGTGGAAACCAAAGCGGCAAGCGTAATCACCAGACCTGTCTCATGGGTGAGATGGATCTGCTCAGGCCAGCCTCTACCCCCACCCAGCCTGTGATAAGAAAGCAAGGAAGCAGACTACAGAGAGGCCATGGGGTAACTCAGGGTCATCAGCCCTGTGGCCTGGGCTCTTGCATTCCAGGAGGGCCCACTTTTACTGCTCTGATTCCAGGACAGTTGTGGGAACTTAGACCTTTCTACCTATGGATCCTTAGTCCTCCTTCCAGGAGAATCCTTGCCAGGTTTCCTGTACAGATATTCTCTGAATACAATAATTGGCAAAATTCTTTGGTTTCTTTAGGTGACTCAGAAATCTGAAAGACAGAACTCTTAGTGTCCCTGTATTACTGACCTAGTGAAGTCTCTTTCCCAGTGGGAAGGTCTAACTCAAACCTGACCCCTCCCACACTGGCTTCCCTGCTCCCTGTTTGTTGTCAAGCAGCCCGCTCCCTTGTCCCCTTCCTGGCTCTCACCCCCGTCTTCCATGTTGGGCAGAAACTGGCTCAGTAACAGGGCTGGAGCCTTCCCATTCACATCCAGGATCTGAAATCACAGCAAATGGGGGATGGGAGAGAGGAGATACAATCAGTCCAGGGTTCTCACCATCTCAGCATCGGTAGAAGGTTACAGCGTGGAAATGATGCTTCTGCCAAGGGGAATTTAGGGAGGCATTTAGTGAGGTGAGGTGCAGCCTGAGGATTCAGTATGAAAGGGATCAGGCTGAGTACTCTGGGTGGAAGATTCTGGAATTTAGAATACCTTTCTATATCTTCAGGGACACTAATTCCATCTGGAGCACAGGAGACAACCAGCAGTTGAATCCGGAAAGGCTGAATTTCAGGGTTATAGCCTACAAGTGTCACTGTTGTGGAATAAGCATGCTTGGGTAAGGAAGAAAGGCATTCATGTCTCTGGACGATCAGAGCTACAACTTAGACATTCTTCCCTTGATCTCACAGATGGGGAGTCCGAGTATCTGGCCCTGCCCTGTGTCGGTATGACTGTGATAAGAGGGTGGATGTGTGGGAGCTGAGGACCAGTCCTGGGTGTACAAGCCTAAATGGAGGAAGGGTTACTCAGAGAGCAATGATGGAGCTCCACCAGTCCCTTGCTGGCTTCCTCAGACCTTACCTTGTCCCAGATCTGTTCATTGCTCCTCAGGGTACTTCCTGTCAAGGGATTAACCCCCGCTACACACACCAGGAAGTCCACACCTCCACAGTGTTCCGGCATCTGAGGGTGAGAAGGAGACATTGAGAGCCAGACTCAGGGAGAGAAGGCAGGTTTCTGTTGCAGTGGGAGATGGTTCTTGTTTGGTGTCCCGGGGGATATGCCTGGATCAAATTCAGAGAAGGAACAACTCGACACATCATTGGAGAACTTCTGAATCTCTTTTAGGAACCAGATACCGAGCTTCTGGACAAAGCTGGGTTTTCAAATCTATTTGCCATTTTCCACCCTCCCACGCCCCAGGACTCTTGGCTACCGGTTCCCTAACGCATCTCCCTTCCATATCTTCTTGAACTACACCTCCCCATTTTCCTGAACACTGTACTTCTGGCTAAGAACCAGGACTTCTTTCTCCAAATCTCAATCCCACTCAGATTCCTCCCCAGGGATCTTCCAGGAGGGCCTGGCTGTGAGCAGAGTTCTTTGCTACCAGGATGCTTCCCACCTCCCTCCTGTTCTGAACGTGTGTCCTTTCTCTGCTCAGGTCTGTTCAGGGGAGATTGTGGGTCTGCCAAACAGAACCAAAGTGACACAATGACTTAGTTCATGCAATGGAGTCTTTAACCCTTTACCCTAGTGTGGATCACAGAAGCCAAATCTGTGTCCCTGGCTTTACCTCCCATGCCCTTCACCATGGCTACCAGCTGCTCCCACATGACACACAGTACCCGTCACATGCAACCCTTCCTCCCGCAGTGCAGTCACTGCATGGTCCACATTGTGCTGCTTCCGGTTGCTGATGATCACATGGGCCCCATCCTGGGCCAGATGCTGGGCAATGGCAAAGCCAATCTACAGGCAGAGATGAAGTGGATATGACAATTCAGCTTTGGACTGACCCCTTTCTTGCTATATTTCTTACCCTGAGGTACCAAACGAGTTCTCTCTGTCAATCCAGAGCAGCTAACTTTAGGCTGTACTTCTGGATGGTAAGAACACCAGAATGGGAAAGAGAGGACGTACCAGTCCTGCCTATATTGGGTCTCTTGTGTACCTCCTCAGATCTTGGCCTTCTCTCCTACTGAAACCACAAAGACAGCCCACTTCTAGTCCCTCAGGGACAGGTGCTACTTCAGAGTAGCCTGAGGCCTTCTGAAGCCACTGAGAGCTGATAGACATGAAGCTTGAAAACCCATGCAACACTACTTTTGACTAAATCAGGGGTTGGGAGCAAAGGCTGAAATTGCTCTGTCTTCCTCTGATGGGTTACTCTGAGATGCATTCATTTCCTGCTGGACATTTAGGCTTATCATCTGGTGGCCTGTATGGGGCCATGTTGGTAACATACCTTACTCTGACTTTGTTACCTTTTCCTTGGTGTTTCTCAGTAGAGTCACATTCTCCTCAACCTTAAGTCTTGCAGGCTTTGCTTTGTGGGGATGCGGTTAATACAATGAGGCCATTAAAATCTAAAGATGCCCACAATTTTCAAGTTTCAAGGCTTACACTCACCCGTAGGTGGATCCTGTGACCATGGCAACTTTGTTGGTGAGTTTGAGTCTGCAGTTTGCTGCCCTGCTGATTCTTCTCATGGAGATGGGTGCTGCAGGGATGCCGAGGCTCTTCCAACCGTGGATCAGAGGCCTAAACATTGGGCATTCTGTTTGCTTTTCTTTTGAGGGCGCTGGATCCAGGGAAGCCCATCTCTAGAAAGGTGATGACAGTTCCAGGACCAGGTCCTGTAAGGAGGGAGGTGAAACTCTGCATCCTGTTTGCTGGGCTAGAACCAGGATGATCTAGGAATCACTACTGGAAGTTCAGTCTGTTGGGATGAGTCAGGAGTGCCTGGAATGTAGAGCACAGCCATGCAACCCCAGAGACCTCCCAGTGAGGACAGCAGGAGTCAGGCCTGCTCCATTCTAAACACATTGCTTCTTACCCAACAGCCCCCAGGCAAAAGTATTAGGTCTCTAATCCCTTAATAGGCTCTTGAAGATCATGTGACTGGACAACAGAACAAAGGCCACATAGCCTTAGAAGCCCCCTCCCTCCCCCTACCTGCCTGCCCACCAGAAACCCAACCCCGCCTCTTTGCCCTCGAAACTTCCCTATAAAAACTTCTTCGCCATATTAGCCACTTTAAAAGGAGCTGTCCGCTCACACAGTCTCCCGGGTGTTTTTTCCTACCGTACTCCCCACCTCCTGAGGCCCCTCTCTCCCCATCGGTCTCTCTCCTCCCCCGACCCTCTGTGAAGGGGACCTATGCTCAACTTTCTCCCAGTAGCAGCGGAGTCCGGGATGAGGGGAGACCGACACAGTCTAGCAGGGGTAGCCAACATTCTGACATTGAGACAAAATGTGATTGCAAACATGGGGTTACAGTCAAAGCAATCATAGGCTGCAGGTTTGACATGCCTGGGCCAACTCTAGAGCCAGTGCCTCTAGCCTGTCTGTTGTTTTTGAAAACAAAATTTCCTACATTCACCCCCTTTAACTGGGATAGTTTTAGTTATAACGTGCAAAAGGAGGTCCCTGAAAAATTTGTTCATTGGACTCCCTGGGATAATGACCAGCTAGCTACAGGCTTGCTGTGAGAGGACCAAAGAGGCTAAGATTCACATGGGAAGGGGCTTTGTAAGTGGCTCTGTGGCTGCTTAAGGGTCGCAAGTTCATGACTTTTATCCCCTGTAGGCCTCTCCCCTCAAGCCTTGGGCTATGCTGCATATTACCTTTGCCCTGCTCTGCTCCGGCTCTTTTCCCCACTAGCCACATCTTCTTCCAGACTTCTCTCCATTTTCATCCTGGGGGTGGGTTCTGGGCCCCAGAACTGAGTTACTCTCTTCTTCATGTGTCTGTGTGGCTCCTGGGCTTCCTTCTCTTGGAACAATTAGCTCCCTGACCCTGAAGTGACTGTGCTGTATTCTCAGTTCTAACAGGGTGCCCAGCAGAAGTAATTCATGGTTATTTGTTGAATGAATAAAGAAATGAATGAGGATTTGGACACAGTGACACAGGGTTTCTTAGGGGCCTCATTGGGCCCATGAGTCAAATATCTTGGTGTTAGCAAGTCAGACCCTTCCCCCAGGGCTGTCAGTTGTATCAACTCAGCTCTGGTTTCAAAACATTTATCCCAAAGTAGCCCTTCTGGACTTTTCTGTACCCAGACATTGGATGGCACCAGGCTTTGTGTACAAAGTAAACTTGTGTTTCCCTGATGTTTAAGTTACTGACCTTCTGCTTAAATCTCCACAGATCTTTAGCTATGAACTTAGCTACATAAAGCCAGTGCTCTTATTTAAGCATTTTTAACTTTAGTAAATCTTAGGTAAATATCAAAGCAGACAAATGCTTTTGAAGCAAACTTTAAAGACAAATCCACAAACCGTTTTTCTCAGAATTTAACTCCTACAGTTCTACGAATTCACAATGGTTCTTTCTTCCCTTGTAGCTAAAGAGTCAAAAGAGAGTGTGAGATTTCTCTCTTCTCTTAAGTTTGTCAGTATCACTACAATCTCTAGGTCTTCATCTATTCAAGGTCATAGTTTTGCTATGTCTTTTCTCAAGGTCACTTCTCAATCTTGTGACAAGGAATAATCTGCTTGGGGGCAGCAAGAACTAACTCTGTCTTAGTCTCCCTCCCTCATTAACTGATAATAATTTTTACACTTATTCATTTTATATTTGTGTGAGGGTCATGATTTTACTTTTAACAGAATTAAAACTGAGATGTGTCACCAAGTTAATATTTTACTGTTAATAATATACTGTTAATATTTTTATATTCTCCTGGTCAATTCTCCACATTCTCATTCTGATACAGTATCCACAAAGAATACTGTTTTGCAAAAATAAGGCTGCAGCACACATAAATTGTTTTTTTTTTTTTTTTTTTTTTTAATTCCTAAGCTGGTTCTTAAACGATGAGTGGACTAAGGAGTTTGGGAATGTGGAGTGAGGTACCAAGCAAGAAAGACAGGAGGGGAGTGGAAGGTCGCACAGAGCCAGCTCTCCCTAGAACAAGTAGAGGTTGGGGTGGGGCTGTAGAAGGTCAAGGGCCAGGTGGAGTGTGACCTCATCCAGAGATCATGTGGGAGCCACTGAAATATACCAAGCTGCATTTGACACAGCTATTAATTCTTTTTGAACACTACCCCTATTTGGCCTTTCCTCTTCACTTTCAGCTTTAAGATATAGCTGATAGAGACCAACTCAGTTCCTTCTCGGGTCCCTAGGAGCACTCTGGGCCTGGCCCTGCCCTCACCTCCCTCTGCTTTCCTGGGCCTGCACAACCCACAGGCCTCTCTCCCAGCCGCAGGCCTCTTTCTCTGGGGTAAGATCGTCCCTTCTCACCTTGACTCCCCCAGCCTCATTCACCCTCCCATCTCCCCCACCGATCTCTCCTCCTAGCCTGGGTCCTGTCCCATTCCTTGTCTTGGCTCCCCAAACAGCTGGGGGAACCACCACTGCTTCCTGATCCTTTGCATCCAGACTAACTCAGTTCCTTCACCAGTCCCCAGGAGCATTCTGGGCCTGGTGCTGCCCTCAGCTCCCTCTACTTCCCTGGGCCTACATGACCCTCCGGCCTCTTTCCTGGACACTGGGACTGACCTTTCCTCTTCCTGATCCTTTGCATCCAGACCAACCCAGCTCCTCAGTGCAGTCTCCAGAAGCCCTTGGGGCCACTTTCCAGCCCCATCTTCCTTTGCATCTCTGGGTGGCATGGCCACCAGCTTCCCTAGACCAGCATC